TTTTTTTTTTTTTTTTTGTCAAAACAACTATCTTGTTTTGATACATCCAGGCAAAACTAAGACATCAGGTGTTAAGCCTTCCTTTGTTTAGCAGGTAGAACAAGGTCAGACCAATCCAAATGTGTCAGTGATGTGTAACTTCTCTTTCTTCATACAGTCTTAAAAGATATCATAACATCTTTGCTTGAGAGACAAATGTTTAGGGAAAAATCCTGCATGTCCACAGTCAACATAACTCAGTGTTGCCATTCAGGTCTCCTTTGTATTATTTATAGGAAGGTAATCTTTTGTCTTGTCGTGCTCCATGTAAAAGACAAACCTACGTGTGCAAATCATCCGTTTCAGTTTTGCATTGGGTTATATTGGGATTTTCTTCCTTGCTATACACGCTAATAAAATCATATTGCAGGCTTTGCTTTCAGACTAGTAAATTCCATTTATATTTTCCTGCCCATTGCTTTTCTTTCATGAACAGAAATGTCCATAAATGCAAGTCATAGGAGAGAAAAACAACATTAGCTCTAGCAATAGTGCAGTTGTACTAATTCTTAATTAACACTTAGGAGGTCGCAATGCACACAGCACAAATATATATCAAAGCCTTAATGAGACACTTGTGCTTTTCCTGCAGCTAATAGAGTTAAAGTTTGAGAAGTTTGATGTGGAAAGAGACAACTACTGCAGATATGACTATGTAGCAGTGTTTAATGGTGGGGAAATCAATGATGCTAAAAGAATTGGTAAATACTGTGGAGACAGTCCACCCGCGTAAGTAGCTTTCTTAGTTTATGAGGTCATTTTGCTAACAGTTCTGTACTAGACTTTTGAAAAACCTTTTTTTTTTCTGTCTGAAATACGTTTTCTACCTCCAACTGAATGTTTAGGAATTGTTTAGCATCTTGTTTCTCCTTAAGTTTTCTCTCCTTTCTCTTTCCCTTCTTAACTAGCCTTGGCTCCAGCCAATGCTCTTTTCTGTCTTGTGCCTCAGGCCTCATGACAGCACTATTTAATAATACTAGTGTTAATGCTACAGGTGCTAGCACTTCTTGCTATAGCTGATCTAATAGGTGATTACAGATGCCACAGTACAAGGATCTGATCAGATTCTCTAGTCTCTTCATTCTTTACTGTCTTTGATGCCATTTCCTCTTCAGCTGCATCCCTCCTGCTGGTTCCCTGCCTGCTCCCTGCATCACCGCTCACCATCTCCTCCATCTCCACCCTGTCCCCTCGCGGCCCGGGCTGCTTTCCCGCGCTGGGGAGCGCCGTGGGCTCGCGGGGCAGCTTTGCTGCCCACCTGCAGCCAGGGTGTGCGCGAACAGCAGAGCGTCTGGACACTTGTGGCACAGTCCCACTACCTAGGATGAACACAAGAACCACAAGGCAGTGAGACAGAAGGTATTTCTGCCCCTACTAGTTTAGTAATTCAGTTGGAATACTTCCTAATGAGTGAGTTGCCATTAAAAACAACAACAAACTATACCATTTCCCCCCCCCCCCATACTCTTAGTTGATTATAGTGACTGGATCACAGTTTAACCACAGACAATCTTCTTCTCCCTTAATAGTCTGTAAGCCTCTTAATCTGTAGACAATGTCTACAGATTATCAGATGTGTCCGAACAAAAATTAAAACTGCCATGTACTCCTAGGTCTCATATTTATGATATAAGCAATGAGTATTATTTAATTCTGACTAGAAGTGTCATTTATCTTTACATCAAGGACTTAAAAAAAGACATGATCTCTTCAAGAAAAAAACAAACAAACAAAATTTTCTGCACAGCCAGTGCCTTCCACAACAGAAAAAAGGCAACTGTAGACTTGAAACATCCAATGCTGCAACTCTTAAGCTTTCTCTACTTAAATGCACTCACTCAGGAAAGAGACAGTCAATGGCACTGTAATTATATTAACAGGTCTGGCACTAGTAGAATTAAATTATTCAAAAAAAAGTGTAATTTTTTTTTTTTTTTGGGTGAAGCAGGTAATGTTCTGCTTTCCCATTGTCCCATCCAGTGACTTAGAGCTGAACAGCTTTAGAAGAGGAGAGCTGCACAAAATCTTGTCTTCCCTTTGGGACTCGGAAGGCAATTGCTAATAACAATTTGTACAAATGAGGCTGGTGGCTTAAAACCCATGGGACTTGCCTCTTTCCAGCTGAGACCTAGCCCAGCTGTGTAAGCCCTTACTGAACTGTGTCATGCTCTAGTCTTGGCTGA